ACAATAGAAGTGTCTACCTAGAATCCTAGCATTCGGGACCCTAAAGCAGAAGGATTCCTAGTTCAAGGCCAGCCTGGGCTATATAGTCATACCCTGTCTTAAAAAAACTAGTATTACTAGTCTCAGATATTCAGTTATAGCAACAGAAAACAAATTAGGATGGTTTTTCCTGAGATGATCAGTGAAGATTTAAATGAGGAGGAGGATTAGAAATAAATTTTGAAGGAAGGCTAGCATCTAATTGGGAAGAGGAAGAGGTATGAGGATGCTGTCAGGGAAGGGGTCAGATAAACTAAAAATTGAATGGAAAAGTCCAAAATACAGTCAAATGATAGACAATGGGCATGCTGGTTTCACTGAATGTTAGGCTTCTTTCCATTATAGAAAAGAAGGCTGTTTAGAAAGAATGGGAAATCTTTGATGATAATGTTAAAATCCTGTGATACTTCTATCATTTTAAAACACACATACAAAAATTAAAGGCTGGGGATGCAGCTCAGTGGTAGAGCTTATGTAACCCAAACATGCAATCTCTAACACCACAAAAAAAGGAGGAAGGAAGGGAGGGAGGGAGGGAGGGAGGGAAGGAGGGAGGAAGGGAGGAGAAATGCTAAGGCCAGAGACAGCAACAAAATTCACAGGTTGTATCCATGGCTGATGTGACAGTGTATTGGCTCCCAACAGTCAATATCAACTCCCCTTTTCCCTTTCTGAGCTCCAAAATAGATGAAAAATTCTCTCAGCACCTCTTGTAACAAAGGACTAGCCATGTGACTCATTTTCAGCATATACAATGGAAGGCGGGAGCCTACTGGGAACATGGAACTTGCTGGGAAACATTTTGTTTTGCCTTCCTATGTAACGGCTATTTCCCTTCCCTCGTTTTCCTGCTCATCTCAAACATAAGCAGTTGTGCTGGCAAGGACGGGAATGACAATTTTGCAATCATCAACTCACAAGCATAGAAAGAAAAGTCAAAATTCTGATGACGGCAGACTGTAGAGGTAAAAAGAACCTGAGCCTTTTAGTAGCATCCATCAGCCAGGGCTTACACCTGAAACTGCTTCACTGCTTCTACTTCTTATGACACGAGAGAATTAATTTTACTTAAATTACTGTCAGGTATTCTGTTACTATAACTAACACGTCCCAGATGACAGAGCTATAAAGTTCAGTACAAAATACAATGTGACTAGTAATGTGTTTGATATGTAAATCAAACTGTAGGCAAAGGGACTGCCATTTCTGGACGCCAAATTAACATTTAAGAAAAGCAACAGATTATGCTCATTCCAAAGTATGAGCAGGAGCTCCAAGGGGTTACTTAGGCCAAACATGCTGGCAAATATCCCAGGACTAGGTAGGCTGAGACAGGAGAATCAGGAGTTCTAGGTAGGCAGCTTGGGCTACATAGTAAGTGCAAGGTCAGCCTGGGATACATAGTGAGATCATGTCTCAAAACAAAGCAACAATGAAATGATATACTTTCAAGGACTGATTTCAATAGGTTCTAGTAATAAAGTGACAATTCTTTAAATCAAAGTCGTCCTGTAAGGAGCTAGGGAGCTAGCTTAGTGGGCAAAGTGCTTCCTGTGTATGATGGCTAACCTTGGTTGTCAACATAACATATATGGAAAGAGGGAACCTCAACTGAGCAATTTCTTCCAACAGACTGGCCTGTGGGCATGCCTGTAAGGCATTTTAGTTGCTAAGTAACAGGCCCTCCCCAGATCCCAGCGCCATGCTCTTGGACTTCCCACCATCTAGAAGCATGAGCTATATAAACCTCTACTCTTTATTAACAACCAGGCTGGGTGTGGTGTCACACAGATAGTAGAAATGCTTGCCCTGAATTCTGGCACCCTGGGCACTTGGTATTTTGGGGGCACTCGGTATTTGGGGGGCACTGTGCTAACACCACAGCATGTATATGGAGGTCAGAAGGTAACTTGCAGGACTTGGCTCTCTCCTTCCAACAGGTGGGTCCCAGGGATTTGGGGGGCACTGTGCTAACACCACAGCATGTATATGGAGGTCAGAAGGTAACTTGCAGGACTTGGCTCTCTCCTTCCAACAAGTGGGTCCCAGGGATTGAACTCAGGTTGTCAGACTTGGGGGCAAGCCCCTTCTGAGCATTGTGGGTAGTGCTCTGAACATCTTATGTGGAAAAAAATCCAAGGTCATCCTTGGCTACTTATCGAGTTCCCGTGTTGGAACTGTGGGTAATGCCCTCCCTGGGAGGGTAGGCCTAGGCTATGTAAGAAAGGTGGCTGTGCAAGCCAGTAAGCAGTGTTTTTCTGTGGCCTGTTTCAGTTCCTACCTCCAGGCTCCCACCTTGAAGTCCTGTCCTGACTTCCCTCAGTGATGGACTGTGACTTGAGAGTTGTAAGCTGAAATAAACCCTTTCCTCCCCCAAGTTGGTTTTGATCAATGTTTTATTAGAGCAACATAGAAAGCAAACTAGAACTCAGGACCTGAGTTCAGATCCAAAGCACCCATGTACAAAGCTGTGCTCAGTGTATGTGCCTGTAATCCCATCTCTGAAGAGGCAGAGACAGGAGGATTCCTGGGTTGCTGGCCAGCCAATCTAGCCCAATTGGTGAGTTCCAGGTTCAATAAGAGACCCTGTCTCAAAAAGTAAGATGGAGAGTTATTGAAGACACCCAACGTGGACTTCTGGCCTCCACACGCACCCCCACACATGAGCATACACACTCACAAACACACATAAACGTGTTCACATACACAAAATAATTTTTTAATTAAAAAATACATCCTGTGATATCTTCCCCCGAAACCCTCAGCTCCGTTTAAAAAGTTATTTGTATTACTGATTATTCTTATCAGTCTTCTGTTGCCACATCAAATATTGACATTATCTGCTTATGAGATAAAAATTTAAAAACACTGGATTTTGTGTATAAACCACATTTTCTTTAGCCACCAATCAGTTGGCAGACAATTAGGTTGTTTCTATTTGGGGGCCATTATCAAAGATGCTGAGCTGGGTACAGAGCTCAGTGGTTAGCATGCATACTTTGCTTAGATATTCAAGGCCTGAAGGTCAATCTCCATTACCAAAAATAAATTTTTAAACTGTTAAAGCACGAACAATACTGTCATAAACATTTACATACACATTCTTCTTTATGTATAGCCTACAAATGCTGTGTCATGCAGTGACTCTATGTTTAAGCATTCTAGGAACTGGTAGACTGTTTGCCACAGCAGCAACAGCATCATTTTACAACCCTATCAGCAAGGTATGAAAGCTGTAATTTCTCTATGGCCTTGCCAATACTTGTTATTTTCTTTCTTTTTTGCAATAGCCATGCTATGGGTCCGAAGTGATATCTCATTTCGGTTTTAATAATTTGCATGTCTCTAATGAGTAAAGATGGTGAGCATCTTTTTCACAAGCACATTTGCTATTTATATATTCTCATTGGAGAAATGTTTGTTACAACAATTTCCCTGTTTTAGTTGGATTATTTCTTAGTTCTTGTTGAGTTTTGAGAATTCTTTATGCATTCCAATTCTAAATCCTTTATCACATATATGATTTTCAAATAGGTTTTCCACACTATGAGCTGGCTTCCCTTTCAGTTTTTAAAACTTACTCATAGAGGGAAAGAGAGCACGGTCTTAGGGCCATGGGTAGAAGACAGAACTGTATCTTATTTTGTAAATTTGACTTTGAAATCACAGATTTTTTTTTTTTTACGTTGTAATGAAACAAACAAAAAAAGACAGAGAGACTCAAAAGCACAACAAAAGAAATGAAGATATTTGGGTATGGAACTGGTGACGAAACCATACTCCCAGAAACTATGTAAGTGAAATTAAAAGCTGTTAAATTAGAGCACTTGCCTAGTAAATGTGGTGCCTTCAGTTCAAGCTCCAGCATTGTGGAACACCCCCGAACACACACGCCAATAATTGGACAATACAGTCCCAGTGAAGGATATCCTAAAAATAGAGAAAAACTACAAAGAATTGTCAAAGTATTTTTTAAAACTCAAATTGCTAATAATAAGTAATGTCAATGTCATTAGAAGAAATTATATACTTATTGTAAAAATATATAACTGGAGCCGGGCGTGGTGGGGCATGCCTGTAGTCCCGGTACTTGGGAGGCAGAAGCAGGTGGATCTCTGTGAGTTCAAGGCCAGCCTGGTCTACATAGTGAGTTCCAGGACAGCTGGAGCTACAGGGAGACCCTGCTTCAAAAAGACAAATATATATATATACATATATATATAATTGTTAACATCATTATGAACCAATATTTTCAATGTAAGTTAAAGATAAACATAAAATCAAAGAAGTTAAAGAAAATCCCATAATCCTTCATTTTCATTGGAAATGTCAGTTTGGATTCATATTGTATTTTGTCTTTAAAATGTATGCATATAAGAGCAGCAGTAAAATTCAAGCCACAGACTGGGAGAAAATACTAGCAGCCCACATATCAACAATGAACTTATATCCAGAATATGGGTTTTTTCAAAAACTCAAAATATAAGGAAACAATGAAATTAAAACAAGTAAAAGACATCACTGAACATTTTCCAAAGAAGATATACAAATAAATGGTCAACAGTCCATAAAATGAAGTTAAATATCAACTTCCCAGTCACCAGGGAAATAAAAATTTAAATTAAAAATTTATCAAAACGGCTAAAATCCAAGACACTGACAATACCAAATGCTCACAAGGATGCTGAATAACAGGAGCTCTCATTCATTGCTGGTAGTAGTGCAAAATGGAAAACAGCCCATCAAGCACAGTCCCAAATTATCAATGTGTTCAAGAGATGGAGGCAGGAGGATCAGGAGTTCAAGATCATCCTTGGTTACAAAGCAAGTTCCAGTTCAAAGCCAGCCTGGGCTACATGAGATTCTGTCTCAGAAAAATAAAAAGACAGGTGGTCACTTATTTCTCTTTTTTAAATTTATTAGCATTGCTTTCTTTAAAAAAATAACATGATTGGAGGAGGTTGGCGTGGTGGAACGGTTTGTGGAAGTGGGCCGTTGGGTAGGGCCTTAAAGTCATTCTTGAGAGGAACGTCTCTGTCTGAAGAGAAAATGAGTTTAGCTCTGAGAAGTGAGCTTGTGGTAGATAAAACAAAGAGGAAAAAAGAAGAGAACTCTGTGAAGAACAGAAACAAGAAATTAAAGATGCTTTTGAGCTATTCGATACAGACAAAGATGAAGCGATAGATTATCATGAGTTAAAGGTGGCAATGAGAGCCTTGGGTTTCGATGTGAAAAAAGCTGATGTACTGAAGATTCTTAAAGATTATGACAGAGAAGCCACAGGAAAAATCACCTTTGAAGATTTTAATGAAGTTGGTGTGTATTTAAATGGTTTTTATAATAAGCAGTTGTTGG